GATGACTAATACACAGGGCTTCTGGTGAGGGCCTGGTGTTCTCCAGGATGGAAGCTAACATTGTGTCAGGCCAGGAGCAATTGGGAACAGTGACGGGACACAAGAATATGAGCCGGACATCGATTTACATGCAGTTTTTCTTTTCCTGAATGTTCACCTTCACAACAACCTATGAGGTGGGGACGGGTATTAGCCTCATTTCAGAGTGGAGGAAACAGGAACAGAGAGGTCAGCTAACTGGTCCAGAAACACACAGCCAGGAAGTGGCAGAGCCAGGATTTACACCCGGGCGGGCTGGCTCCAGGGCCTGTGTTGCTATAGCCACTGTGGGTGGACATGGGCCAGAGGGGTTTTAGGTGACAAGGTGTCCCGTGTGAATGACCAGAAGTCGGGAAAGCCTTTTCCTGTGGCCTGCTACACTACTGTTTTGTGGCAGCATGACAGGGGAGTGAACTCTGGAGTCAGACCTCCTTGGGGGATTCAAAGTGGTGGTGTGGAATCAGAGTACTGGGGATTGGAATCCTGACTCTCCAATTCGTTTAGCTGTGTGACCTTGGGCAAGTTACATAACTACTCTGTGCTTCAGCTTTCTCATCTATGAAATGAGGACCATAACAGTACTTACCTCCTAGGGTTGTCATGAGGATTCAAAAGGACAACATACGCAAAGCACTTGGCCTCGTATTTAACACATAGTAAATGCTCAACTGTTACCAGCTGTGGGATCTCAGGCAGGTCAATTGACCTCGCTGGTTTGCAGCTTTCTACTGCTTAGAGGATAACGTCTTTCTCACAAGAGTGGCCAAGAAGATTCAGTGAGATAATGTTAGAAACTCAGTAACTACCCTTACTTCTTCCTTGGAGGCCTAAATGAGCTACAACTGTCGCTTGGATTCCTCTTGTGGGAATGGGGAGAACTGGCCTTCTGTCTTTTTTATGGGACTTTTTAATTTTCTGATTATAAAAGTAACACATCTGGTATACACACAGAGAAAAACAATGTGGATGTGTTTACACCAAACAGTCAGACCATTTTCCTCTAGGGAGTGGGATGGGGAAATGAGAACTTTCACTTTGAACTTTCTCTCACTTATGTATTGCTTAAATTTTTTACAACCACCAAGTGTTACTGTAAAAATGAGAATACACACTCACTGTAGATAATTTATCTCCTCCCCCCCCGTGTATTTCTTATATAAGCAGCATATTTTTTTAAACCCAGTTTGAGATTCTTTGTCTTTTAAGAGGGAGTTTAATTACCTTTACTGTCATAACTGATATTTGTCTTACTGCTGTCATTCTGTTTTATGCTGTCAATTTCTGATGCTTCCATGTGGTGTCCTGTCTTCTCTGTCTCTTGCAATAGGCACTATGTTTCCTTTTGTTTTAATTTTCTACTGGGATAGGAAAATAGAAACTTGCTTTTTATGCTACTTGTGGATGCTTGGAAGTATTTCATAAACAGGTTTGAAATGATATTCTCTGTAGTGAAACAATTCCAGAAAAATACAGAAACAGTGTAGCCAAGGGTCTGGGTTTTAATTCTGGCTCCATTACTGACAAGCTGGGAGGACCCTGGGCAAGTGACTTAACCTCTCTGGGCCCCAGTGGGGACCACAACTACACCTGCTTCCTACCTGGTGCAAGGCTGGAATGAAGGGGCACCTGTAAAATACTTATCCCAGTGCAGTATGGTTACTTGGTTCTTCCTGAAAAAAGACAAGGAAGAGGTGAATGGGGGCGGGATAACCAGGCATGCCTGTGTAGATGCCTTCACTGCCTAGACGGCTTTTTAAAGATATTTCTGACTTTAAGCATAAGGATCCCCTATGTCCTCTGTTCCCTAGATAAGGGGTCAACAAACTACAGCCTGGGGGCCAAATCCAGCCCATCCACTTAAGTGCTGTCTATGGCTGTGTTTGCCTCACGGTGCCAGAGTTGAGTAGAGACCCACATGGCCCACAAAGCCCAAGATACCTCCCAGCTGGCCCTTTAAGAAAAAGTTTGCTGACTTGCGCCTTCGAGCAACGAGATGATCATCCTTCTTTCTAAATTTAGAAGATGCCATTTTCTCCCTTGTCCCATTATAGCCTCTCAAAAGCTAAGTGGCTCTTAGCATATATTAAAAGATTTTTTAAAAGACCATTAGCTTTTGCATTTAATTGTCCACAAGGTGGGGATACTTAATCAAAAACAAAACTAGAAAAAATGGAAAAGACAAAAGATACTGATTACAAAGCAGGGTTCTCCCGAGGCTGGGACACAGGGGAAAGGAGACACGGAGGGGCCAATCCCCGGGGCTTCTCCACCCCATCTACTCCACTGTTTTAAGGTGGGGACTGGCCACCCGAGGTAGGGTCTCTCACTCTGCCCCTCTGATATGTGCTGCTCCCGGGGTCCCCGAAAACCAGCTTGGTGGCAAATGCCCAGCCCTCTGAGGAAACTGAGCAGGCTCTCCCCTGTGCCAAGTTCACGGTCTCTCCAATGGGCTGCTCCCTATGTCTGGTGGCCTGCTGTCCTCCAACCTCAGCATTCCCCATCCTCCCGAGGGAATGGATGGGATAGTTTTAATTTCAAAATTAGGACTTTGCCCATGAAACAGTGAGTCTAATTCTCTTATGCACTCATACGTGGTTTCGAGTATCTCAGTGCACTGGCGGAACTAGAGTATAGGAGCCACCAATTCAGGAGGGCGGGTCATGCCAAGAAGTGGGGTCTGTAGTTACTAAGCCCTGGTGCCTCCTCAGGGGGGGTCAGCTCCACTGGGACTGAGCCCCCACAGGCTCAGAGGCACTGAGAGCCTGGGCTTTTACCCCACAAGAGAATCTTGGTGGGGAGACAGGTCCAAAGGTCAGGGAACTGGTAAAGAAAAATGAAATGGTGGTGAGACCAAGCGTCCAACAGCATGGTTCAGTGGTGGCCCCTGAAGAACAAAAGGAATTAGGAGAAGGGACAGATCCGGTGAGCGAGAGACAGCAGGGTAGGTGTCTTGGATGCGATGGACCAAGACAAGGACAACCAAAGAGGTCAGGGGAGAGAATGAGGAAGAATGAGGGGAAGCCTGAAGGAAAAGTGGATAGTCCTCCAGATCCTGGGCTCTGCATGGTGGCTTTGCAGGGTCATGGGCTTCACCCACGATCACACACGCATGATCACCCCACTGTTGCCAGTGATGGAGTGACTTCACCTACTAGTTCCACAGCTGAGAATGTCATTTCCAAAAAAGCTCACTCCACTGGGGAAAATGGCCATGAGGTTGTGTGGACCTCATTGTGGGAAACTGGAGGGCAGAAAATAGTCCGTTTATGGCATGATCCCAATCAGGCATCTGGAAGGATGGAAGAGCACCACTTGATCCCAGGAAGTAGAGTGGTATTTATCTGATTGCTCCGAATGAAGAAATGGTTAAAATCGGGTTAAAATAATGCTCATGGCCAACACTCACTGATCGCTGCCTCTCTGTCAGACACGGCTCCAAGGGCAGTGCGTGCTCACAATGACCCCGCGAGGAGGTTGCCGTTGTTAATCGCACTTTATAGATGGGGCAACCGAGGCACGAAGGGGCCAAGTCATTTGCCCAGGGTGACTCAGATAGTAAATTTCAGGGTGAAGGCAAAGGGCAGTCTGGTGGGAGGCAGGCTCTGGAGGCCATTAGGGAGAGACTAACCTAATTAAAAGGTCTTTCCTTCATTCATCCATTCAGTAATTCATCAACCAGTATTGGCTGAGCATCTAAGAGTCTAACAATTTGTCAGCTGTGTGGATGTGAAGCCAAGGGAGATCTCTTAACCTCACAGAGCTTACAACCCAGCGGCAGCACAGCAAACCAACTTGAGTGCTTTATGCCAGGAACTGCCCTTTATAATGTACCTGTTCTTGTCCCCTCCCTTCTGTTTTCAGCTGGACAATACAGAGGCTCAGAGGGAAAAGGGGACTTGCCAGGATTCCATGGACTTGAAAGGCCACCTTAACCCCAGACACTCTGCCACGTGCACTGAGTGGTCAGGGTCCCTCCTCTCCCCTCCCCTCCCCGTCAGTTCTGGGGCAGTGAGTGCTTGGCCCAACGCTCCCCTTCTCCTGTCCTTCCCACCTGCTGGCCAGGGTGCTCAGATTTGGGTTTGGGGACTGGGTATGGGGAGAGGTCAGTTAGGTCTCCACCTCTGTCCATCATGTGAAATGAGAGGAAGCAGCTTCCTGGCTCCCCAAAATAGAGAACTGCAGCCCCTGCCTCCGCGTCCACCGTCACTGCCTCCAAGGGGCTGCTGGGCTGCTCACTTTGCGTCCATTATTCACGAATTTTACTGAGGGCTTGTTCTGGGGCAGGCCTTGGGCTTCGGATGCAGATGTGGCATGCTTCCTGCCCTCAGGAAGCTTCATCTGGGTTTTAAATGCCTGCAATTTGGTGGAACAGATGAATGGTCTCTGAGCCTGAGACAAAACCTATTCTGTGTGGCCAGGCAGGACTGCGGGAGCACCGTAATAACCCTGTGCTTGCTTCGAGCTGTGTCTCTTCTGGCCGGTCTGCCTTCAGCCTCCTGAAGACCAGCCGCAAGGACACGGAGGCAGCCTTACTAGGAGCATAAAGCCAAGGCGGGGAGACGTCCCAGGGAACTGGGGGAAATGAGCACGTGCAGAAGAGAGTGCCAGGCAGTCTGCGAGCCTTCAAACTGCTGCCAATGCATTGGGCCCCAGAGCTCCCTGGGACAGGAGCTGCAAGCAGGGCTTCTAACAGCTGTGTTACTGAGAGAGTTCTCAGTTGAAAGGAGAGGGGGCTTTGATGCCTGACCATCAAAAACCAGCATTTCTCCAGGTGAATCTCTGGTGACAATTCAAATTTCTGTGCGAAGTTGGCCTATAGAGCCCCTGCCGTCCCTGTGTGAGGGCGAGAGGGTGGCCTGCGTCCTGGGAGAAGAGGAAGGATGGTGCAGACTGTGCCACTCGTCCCCCTCCGCATCCGCTCTGGCTGACAGCCCCGGCCCCCAGCCCCGGCAGGCACGTACCTTCACACCGCAGCACGGCACTGTTCCAGACCACGCTGCCCTCCTTCAGGATGCAGGTGATGGTCTCCGAGCCCTGAGTCCCGAGGAAGCCTTCATCACAGAGGAAGGAGATGGAGCTTCCCAGCTGGAGGCTGTCACCAAACCGTTTGCCATTCACTGGAACGCCGGGATCTGGGCACTCGTTGTGTCGGAAGGCTGTGTGGATGGGGGCCAAGGAAGGGATTAGGCAGAACTGGCGTGCAGATGGACCCCCCCGCCAGAGAAAATAAGCTTAATTATGATAGGCAATCCTAGACCCCATCACTTCCACAAGAACCCGCCCTACGGGAGTCAGAGCCAGATGCCCCAGAACCAGTGAGCCACAGTGGGCAGAAAGCAGGTGATTGTTAAACTTGATCTCCTACCTTCCTGAGCAGCTGATTCAATTTCATCCTAATGAACATATCGAGCTCAGGCAGCGAACTAAGTATTTCTCATGTCAGCTCATTTATATCATATAATGATTCCATGAGGTAGACATAATTACCCCAGGTTACAAATGAGGAAACTGAGGCTCAGCATGGTTTAGGAGAAGTGCTACTTCCTGCTGTCACATCCATTCCACACTTCCCTAACTTCAGACAGTTATGGGATTGTTTATGTTGCAGATGAGCTGGACTCCAAGTCCTGTGACACTAATAGACACTAAGCATCATAAAGTAGGTGCCCTGGACTCAACCCTGTCTGAAGCCATTTCCTTCATTTCCTTGTGTATTGTCAGGCTGCCTCTCGCTCTGTCCAGGCAACTGATAATGCAGTGGGAAGGGGGCAGAGGAAAGAGAGCACTTGCGGGTTTAATTGAGCTTTGCCTCTTGTTAGTTACACGGTTCTGGGCAATTTATGTAATCTTGCTGAGCCTCTGTTTCCTGACCTATAAAATGGAAACCGTACTTCCCCAGCAGGGTCATTTTGGGATAGAAATAAAAGGAAAGTTGGTATGAATTTGAAAGTGGAGAATGTTTGGGATGGCGCCTGACAGATGGTAAGTACTCCCTGAATATGAGTCCACTGCCTTCTTCCCATTCCCACCCCGTCTCCACGGAGCACGTTCCCAGCCTGCCTCCATCAGGGTGCCACATTTCTGGAGCTCAAGTCTCTGAGCCACACCCTATCTGCATCCCTGCTGTTGTGAGGACGCAGCTTTCCAGGAGACCAGGCTCCCTGGCTCTGCAGGCGGGTGCCACTTTAAATCAAGAACTCAATTTGCAAGCCTCTGAAATTCACTAGTGATTTTTTTTTTTAAAGATTTTATTTATTTGACAGAGAGAGACAGCGAGAGAGGGAACAGAAGCAGGGGGGTGGGAGAGAGAAGCAGGCTTCCTCCCTTCCCTGACGCAGGGCTCGATCCCAGGACCCTGGGATCATGACCTGAGCCGAAAGCAGATGCTTAACAACTGAGTCACCCAGGCGACCCTCACTAGTGATTTAAACACTTGCACAACCAGAGACAGAAGGGCCCCAGAGGCTGCTGGATCTTGCTGGAGGCAGGAGACCTGCAAACCTGGAGATCCTTCCTACTGAAGGCGAGCCACGGGAGCATCTGATGCAGAGATAATTGTGATGATCCCTCGGCGGATGCCCCAACACCCTTCCCACTGAAATGCAAAGCCCAGGTCAGCCCAGACTTTAGGCTCCCCACCTTCCTTCATGAGGAATGTTGACTATGAGGTTGCCCTGACATTTAGAAAGATGCCCTGGGGGGCGCCTGGGTGGCTCAGTTGGTTAAGCGACTGCCTTCAGCTCCGGTTGTGATCCTGGAGTCCTGGGATCCAGTCCCACATCGGGCTCCCTGCTCAGCGGGGAGTCTGCTTCTCCCTCTCACCCTAAAAAAAAAAGTCCTCTCTATCTCTCATTCTCTCTCTCTCAAATAAATAAATAAAATCTTAAAAAAAAAAGTTTATAGGAAGATGCCCTGGGAAGAAGAGTGGTGCTTGGGGCCCAGAAGTCCAGACATGTCTCTTAAAAATCTGATCAGTTACACACAGGCATGCATACATGCAGGAATATGAAGCTACTTCCAATGTCAGGGCGCAAAAGCTCTAAGTCAAGGGCCTTTCAACCTCAGGTTCCTGGCATGTGGAAGGGGTAGACAAAGCTTAGCTACTGACGTTTCTGCTGAAGCAGCCGGCGGTGGTGACCACAGAGGTGCTCACACGGCAGGTGCTCGGTGGACAGCTGCTGCCATCATCGTTGTTCCAAATGCCCCTTAGCTTTACTCTAAGGAGTGCTAGGGGTGAAAATGGGATCACTGATCCTTGTTCCAGGGGCACCGGCTTCAAGTCAGCCTGAGGGGAAAGCACCCAGTGCTCTTTGGCTATGGAGAAGCTGTCTGGGAAGTGAGTTCCCCACGCTGGGCAGATTCAGGCTCAGCCTAGATGATCATCAGCTGCATGTGACTGAGGAGCTTTATGTCCTAGTTCCCAGACACTTGTCTGTGGACTACTATTTCACCAGCTACATCAGAATCACCTCCGAAGCCTAAAAAAATGTAGATTACAGGGCCTCATCCCTTTAGGGATTCTGATTTAGCAACACGGCCCAAATTTAAAACAATTATGTCTACTTATCCCCCCACTATCTCTGTAAATGCACAGAGAAATATCTGATGTCTGCAATAGTGCTCAGCAAAGGCCGGCAAGAACCATTTCTGGGTGAGGGGGATTCTGGGGTGGTAATTAGTACTTCTTTGACCTGCCCTGTTTGTTGAGTATGTAATGTGTTGAATGTGTATCATTTTTATGGTGATGGAGAAGCCTTGGAGAGGAATGCTAGGTAGGCTGGATCCTCTTTTAGGCCAGGTCCCTGCATTTTGCCTCCCCTTTCCCCTCCCCACCAAGGACTCAGCACTTGCTGCTTTTTGGAAAGTGGGCACTTCCTAGGATTTGGTCTTGCTAGGAGACTCGGTAGCCATTTTGTCCCAGGCTCCCCACTGATGTCCACACCTACATTGAACCTGCAGAGTTCCCAGCCCTCACTACCCTGGAAGGTGGGCTCCCTGGGATACCTCTCCCCCCTCTTTCTGTTCCCACCAGCAGGAAAAAAGGGCATTAGTCACTTATGGACCTTTCCATCCAATACACATTTACTGATCCTTACCAGGTCCAGACTCTGTGCTGGGCAGAAGGGATAAGAAGGTAAGTATACAACCCCCCACCTTCCCAGAGCTCATGATCTCGTGGTAAGGCAAGGATAGGGGTAGATCAGCTAGAAGCTAGAGGGCAGTGCTAGACTGGGAAGACTAGGGAAGATGGAGCTGGGTTCTGCTTCTGCCTGACTGTGGATGGCGGGGACAGGTGCGCCCTGGAAGAGGCATGCCCTGAGGAGACTGATGGTTTCTAGCAAGTTCGCTGCCCTGTAGAAGGTGCTGAAGGGAATGCTGGGAGAGGGCTTGAGCCTGGGTGGTTCCTTGGAATCTGAGGTCCCCAACGGCCCCATCTCAACTAGACTCCAGGGACAGGTCGACAAGGAAGCAAGACCTCTATGCCAAGGGAGAGGGGTGGGGGCTGGGAGGAGATCTGTTCTGTCAAAAAGTACCACACTATGTGAGTGTTTGCATGCATGGGGTGGGGTGGGAACTGGGGGCTTGCATTTCACAAGCAGCCCCTGGAAGTGGATCTGGTGAATGGTTCAGGCAGGCCCAACTTCAGCCCAAATTTGACTACTTGCCATTGGCTAAGTTCACTGGGTCTACAGCTTATTATGACCCGAGAAGCACTTCCTGCTACCTTTGGCAGTGTTCTATTTCTGGTCTCCAAGCTCTGGCCTCCCTCCCCCTCCTCACGATAGCCCCAGGAGACACAGAAATGCAAAGAATTTCCACTTAGCTTCAGGCTCCTTCTAGAGAAGGGACCCAGGGTTGAACTGGAGGTGACAGCTTTTGGACTGTGGCCCTGAGAGGGGCGATGAGGAAGTGCCCCAGTAACAAGGCTAATAAGCTTCAGATCCAAGCAGAAATCTGCTTCGGACCCTCGTTTCCGATTTGACCGCAGGGGTGGGAACTGGGCAAAGCAAAGGGTGAGCCCACGGGGAATACCTGAAGTCAACAGTAAGCAGGTGTTCAAGGACCAGGGAGAGCCCCTTGAGAGGGATGGGCAACAATGAGAGGAAGACACAGGCTTGCTCTCCCGGGGGCCCTCCCCGGTGCTCACTGGGCCTTCCAGGAGGGGGAGGGTGGGACGAACAAATGAGGTCCTGGGCTCCTCTGATGTCACGTATCACACTTAGAGGAAAGAAATGCTCAAAAGAGAGTGACTCCACTGAAAAGAGCACCCTGGCCAGCAGGCAGCACTTTCGGCTTTTCCAGTCATGCTGGAGCCCCGTGCTGGGGCTCCCCATGGCCCACCCACATTGATGCTCCTCCACGGGGGCACCCTCCAGCATGCTCAGAGGCCAGTACTCTGAGGGTTGGTCTGCTGGAGACAGAGTGGGGACTCACTGGTAAAGGTGATGTTGAAGCCCCTCTTCCCTGTGGAGTGGTCAGTCTGGAACTCGAGACGGGCCACGTGACCACTGCTTGTGATGGAGGAGGGGAGCTGGTTTCCTGAGAAGGTGCCCAGAACCGGGGCCTCGGCCGTGGCCCCATCCTTGACAACCAGGAAGTCAAACTGAGGCTCCACGTCGATGTCGTTGAAAGCCAAGTGGATGCGGCTCTCGGGCCGGGCCAGGATGAGCCAGACACAGTGCAGGTGGTTGCCGTAGTCCTCTGGGTAGTTGGGCGACAGGACGACCCCGGAGGGGCTGGTGAAGTTGAAGAAGCAGGAAACTGCAAGAGAAGAGCCGTGGAGGTCAGTGCGTATCCCGGCATTCTGCCTGGGCTATCAGGGGTTGGCATGGGGAGCATTTCCTTGGCCTAAAGAGCAACTGAAAGAAACGTAACACCAGGGTCGGGCCGGACTGGCTGGGCTCTGAGCTCTAGGAGGGAGATGTGCTGGGTTCCATGCTGGGCATGGTGCTGGGAAGGGCCCCTCTGGCCAACTGCAGACATGGCGGGTGGAATTGGTCCTCTTAGCTGCTGGTGATTCCCTGGGTGGTAACCAGGGTCAGGACACGCCAAGTCCATTCCTCCTCTTTAAACATTATGATAGGTATGCCCTGGGGATTTGGGCAACCTCAAAGCTACAAAGCTACATAACTATGCTAAGGAGGTGTTGGGTAAACACTGTCTTTCAGAGACCAAAGCTTTGGAAGAACCATGGGGGAGGGGTGATGGTGGCCTCATCTCCATGCCTTGCCCACTTCCTGTTCTCTCTCCTACTTTATCCTAAGGACTCACTCTTCTGGAATTCCTTATTTTAAACCCTTTTCATGCCAGTGACTAACAGACCCTGGAACAAGGCTGAGGCAAGGGAAATGCTATAAGTGGAAAAACAAACAAGCAAACACTAAACAAAAATTAAGATGGAAAATAATAGAACGAAAAAAATTGCAACAAATATGCCAAAGGGTGAATATCAATATTAAATTAGAGCTTTTATAATTGCATAAGAACATCACCAGGATAAGCAAAGAGTGTGCTCACAGGATTCATAGGAGAGAAAACAGAATTAAAATGAAAACACAGTCTATTTCACTAGTAAAAAAAAATAAAGAAAAAATACGCAGCCCAATATTGTTGAGGCTTCGTGGAAATTCATACGTATTTATTGCCAGCTGCAGAGTAAAGTTGATATAATCCTTTTGGAAGGGAGGATATGAATTCTTATCAACAACCACAAAACTATTCAAATATTCTGACTCCATAGTCTCTAGGAATTAAAAAAAAAAAAAAAGAGCCGCATGGACAAAGATGTTTATAGTGACATAATTTTATTAGAGAAAAAAAAATGTGAACAACCTATATGCCAGCCTAATAATATGTGGTAAATTATAGCCTTTAATGTGATGCTGTTTGAACAAAATCATTAAAGTGATAAATATGACCCTGCAGAAAGAAGAACATTAAGCATCATTTTAAGTAAAACAGTAGATCATAAAATTATGTGTATACTTCCGATTATAGCTATTACATATTAACATGTGGATAAAGACTGGACATGAGCCCCCGAATAAAAATTGTTTTCGAGTAATAGGTTTTGGGGTAATACTTTTTCAAAATGAAAACAATACTTAATTTTTCTGACCGCAAAAATGATATAGGCTCATACTAAACACTTTTAAATGTAAAAGTATAAAGAGGGTAAAAACTAATGTGGGCAAATATTTAAATACCTTTATAACATTTATATTGATGTTTGGTGTTAATAATATTGAAACTTAAGTTAGCATAATATTTGGCTTATTAATTATAATGAAGTTAAGGTGAAAAATAATAATGAAATCATGCTTGCAAAAGAAACACACACACAAAACAAAGGAATTGGTGACTCCTTATGTTGAGCTTCTCCTTCCTTTCCCTGACTCTACTCATCCTCCCCTTTTCCACATTAGGTACCCCTTTTCCAACCTGCTACTCAAAGCCTTCCCATCCAGTTCTGCAAAGCGAACCTGGTCCCTAAGACATATTCAGTCTTACCCCTGTAGTCTCTGCGTTTTAAGGGGTATAGAAGGAGTCCGAGCCAAGGGGAGAGATGGATATGAAAAAGCATTTAGGCAACACAATATAGAGTTAATAGTGATTATTATGATATATTAATGGTGGTTACTAAGTGCAGGCACTGTTCTGAGTACTGTCATCAGTTACTCAATTTAGCTGTCACAATAACACTATTTGGTAGGTAGCTCATTTTAAAGATGAAAACACTGAGGCACGCCGAGGTTAAGTAATTTGCCAGGGTTGCTTGGTCAGTAAATGGTACAACAGCAAGTTCAAATCCATCTGACTTCAGGGGCCAAGCTCTTAGCCACCCCTGAACATCCTCTTATGAGAACAGTACTGCCCACAGGGCCTAAAAGTGGAGTCCATGGGGTGTTCTTAGAATTTGCTGAATATCGACCTGTCAGCTCCTAACCACTACATTAGCACTGAAGTGGGGGGGCTCTAGGCTGGTCATGGGTGCCCCCACACAGCCATGCTCTCTCCAGCTGCAAGTATAATGCAAATCATGAGGAATCCTAACCCAACAGAGCCAACGACCTTGAAGACAAGGGGCAAAATCACAAGGCCTGCCTACCAGTAGAACCGTACCAAGGCAGACTGAAGGCAAGAAGAAGTGCTATGATTTCAGAGGGAAGACCATCAGAAGAACTGTAAACATGTGCACAAGTGGCTTTGCTGCAGAGGAGAATTTAATTAATATCACCTGAGTCCCCACCCCCACTCCATCACTCTATCACATTATTCTTTTTTCTTTATACCTTTGTAGTGGGTTGCCATCTTGCAAAGCTACAGGGGCACTATTTTGAGCAGCTGTATATGGTAGCTTTACTTATCACTCTCTAAAATTATCTTGTTCACTTGTTTGTTTATGGTCTGTCCCTCCCTCACCCCAACACATACACATATGTTCCATGAGAGTAGAAATCTTGTCTGTTTGATTCCTCTCAGTCCCTAATGGCTCCCATGATGCCTAGTGCATTCATTGTAGGTGCTCAATCAGCAAATCAATATTTGCTGAATGAATCAATGAATACAGTTGACCCCTGAGCAACACAGGTTTGAACCACACACATCTACTTACACATGGATTTTTTTTTTAATAAATACAGCACAGTACTGTAAATGCATTTTCTCTTCTTTATGATTTTCTTAATAATATTTTCTTTTCTCTAGCTTACTTTATTGTAAGAATACAATATATAATACTCGTAACATACAAAATATGTGTTAATCAACTGTTTATGTTATTGGTAAGGTTTTCGGTCAGCAGTAGGTTATTAGTAGTTCAGTTTTGGGGGAGTCAAAAGTTATATATGGATTTTTTGACTGAACAGGGTTGGGTCGGGAGAGGTTGGCACCCTACTCCTGTGTTGTTCTAGGGTTAACTGTATTTAATGTTTGATACCATCTCAAAAGATGGGGACATGAATACATGTGCCTCACGTTCCCATCCCGTTCTAACCCCCCAAGCAACAGAATTGACCAAAGTCTGAAAACCAGGTGGATACCCGAGTCAGCTCTGGAAACTAGGAAAAAATACCAGGCCATGACCCTCAATGCTCTTCTCTTAGACACAGTACAGATCTGTTCCTAAATAATTTAAAGTAGAAAAGAGAATGACCCAGCCAAGTTGCTAAACAGCAAAGACAACAGAAACTGCTCCCAGTGTCAAAGACCTCGAAAAATATATTAGTCACATAAAATTCATTAAAAAAAAAACACTCAAAGATGTTTTCTACCCAACCAAGAGATAAACCAAAATGAAGAACTCAAGTGTGGGAAAGTTTTGGTTAATAAAAAAAAAAAAGATTAGGAACAAGCAAATAAACGGTATAGTAAAGAATCTAAATAATTGCTATAAACATAGTTATAAAACAGAATGCAAGCAATACAAATATCCCTTCGAAGAGAAGATAAAAGATATCACTCCTGCCCAAACCCCAGGGTAAAACTCTGTAGATGACACTGGTAGAAAGCATAAAGTTGGAGCAAGGAGATATGCTAATTTCCTCACCTTGCAAGAAACTCTCTTATATAGTTTCTGTGGTTAATTAGAGAGATATAGGTTAGACCATGTCTTTATTTTTTTATTTTTATTTTTTTAAATAATTTTTTATTGTTATGTTAACCACCATACATTTAGACCATGTTTTTAAAGATGTTAAGAGTAATTAGTAATAGACTATAAAGTAGCTTATCTTCAAAATTACCAAAGGGGGAAAAAGGAAAGCAGTCAATTTAGCAAAAGAATGGAATTGAAAGGACAAAACAAGGAAGCATAAAGAGGGGAAATGTAAAGTAAATGCTAAAAGAAAAAAGAGACAAAACATTATTTATGACAATAGACGTGTACAGGTTAACCTAGCCCAGTAAAATATAGTTCTCATTTTGGAACAAGACACATGACTTACACAAAGTGTCTCAGAGTAGTTAAAAACAAGGGAAGGGGCCAACATAGCTCAGACTTCACATTAGAAGAGGATTAAAGTTCACCAATGCCAGGTTCCAGAGATTCCTATGTGTTTGGTGGAGTCATCCAGAGCATCCACAGGTTCTAAAAGCTCCCCCAGGTGATCCTAAATGTGCAACCAAGGTTTCAGAAGGACCAGTGGAGGCAAATGCCAACCACTCAAAAAGGGGGTTTTAATATTAAGATCAGACCCTTGATGTTATAACGTCACACCAGACTCTTGGGTGATCCTTGTTTTTGGTCAAGAGCCTTGAACAGCTACCAAAAGACATTATTCTTGCACCTGGAAGGACATGAAGCTCACAAACTGACACTCATAGAAAAGAGTGTGGCCCTACAAAGCTCAGTCTAATGCCCTAAAAGATAACTCAGACTTGCTGCCATGAGAGCAGGAAAAGGGCATATGCATCGTGCTACAAAGGTCTAATCTTTCTCGCTCTGGAAAATTATGTTTGCGTGCTACTTTGGAATGTTTCTGTTAGAGAGCACAGTTTGCTTCTCAGTGTCCAAAATGAGGAAAACATCAAGTGCTATAATTGGATCTCATCATTATCAATCACCCAGGTTACAAGAAGGAGATAAGCTGCCTACCCCCTTTGGAAGTAGTTATGCTTATGGATCTCAACCTTGGATAAACCTTTAAATCAGAGGGCTCTGCCATCGCTCAGACTTTTGAAAACTGATAAAGGTGGAAAACTCATTAGCAGGTGTATGCATAATTACTGTGTGTAATATCAGATCATTATTTGATAGAAAA